TTATTTTTTCATTTAGCAAAGTTATATTAAAAAAAATGTATTTTGTTATTCGTCGTGTAACGTTGGTTTTAACATATTGAAATTAAGAAATTTATACAGGAATCAGGACAGATATAGATGAATTACTATTAATTTGTTTCCAAATTAGATATATTATTGCATATTATAATTAAGGTACATTAGATATACAAAATTAAAGAAAATGGTAATTTTGTCAAATAACAAATTATTTATCGCTAATTATTATATGGTTCCACGTCATTACAGAGAAACCATTACAGAGAATGTATTTTACAGAGAAACTTTTATAGAGAAAACAAAAATAGAGAATGCACTTATAGAGAAAACAATTATAGAGAATATACATTCTTTATAAAATAATTCTCTATAAAATACATTCTTTATAAAATAATTCTCTATAAAATACATTCTTTATAAAATAGTTCTCTATAAAATCATTCTCTGTAAAATTATTCTCTGTAAAATCTTTCTCTATAAAATTATTCTCTATAAAATCATTCTCTATTAAATCATTCTCTATAAAATCATTCTCTTAAATTATTCACTATAAAATCATTCTTTATATAATCATTCTCTATAAAATCATTCTCTATAAAATAATTCTCTGTAAAATCATACTCTATATACGACATTCTCTATAATTGTTTTCTCTATAAAAAATTCTCTGTAAAATACATTCTCTAAAAAATAATTCTCTATAAAATAATTCTCTATAATCGACATTCTCTATAATTGTTTTCTCCGTAAAAGTTTCTCTACAATTGTTTTCTCTGTAATGGTTTCTCTGTAATGGCGCGATACCTTATTATATATGTATATATATTGAGTAGGCTTCCATTAAAGACCTGTTGTGTTTATATTTAATCATTAAAAGACTTGAAATTTTTCCCCATTAAGGTTATATTTGATGGTTTGGATATCAATATCAATATTTTTTTTTCTAGTGTATAATAATATATACTAAACCACATTAATAGAATTGTAAGTAATCGATTAGAGTATGGCGTGGGCTGTAAAAATCTTTGTGACCCAGCCGCACCGTAAGCGTAATTGAATTTTAAAATTTTCAAGCCGTAATTGGGTGTGTCGGGTTTTCCCAAAAAATATTTGGCTTGATTAGGTGGTGTGAATAGAAAATTTTTTCATAAATCCCGAAAAATTAAAAAATTGTTTCCTAGGAATATTACCTTTTAAAATATTTAATCATATTTAAAAAATGTAATTTTTTAGAAATCTAAACATCTTTTTTACGCATTTTATAAGATCGCATCTTTTTTTTCCCACATAGCTTACTCCTCAAAAGAAGGAAGGAAGGAAGGAAGGAAGGAAGGAAGGAAGGAAGGAAGGAAGGAAGGAAGGAAGGAAGGAAGGAAGGAAGGAAGGAAGGAAGGAAGGAAGGAAGGAAGGAAGGAAGGAAGGAAGGAAGGAAGGAAGGAAGGAAGGAAGGAAGGAAGGAAGGAAGGAAGGAAGGAAGGAAGGAAGGAAGGAAGGAAGGAAGGAAGGAAGGAAGGAAGGAAGGAAGGAAGGAAGGAAGGAAGGAAGGAAGGAAGGAAGGAAGGAAGGAAGGAAGGAAGGAAGGAAGGAAGGAAGGAAGGAAGGAAGGAAGGAAGGAAGGAAGGAAAGAAAGAAAGAAAGAAAGAAAGAAAGAAAGAAAGAAAGAAAGAAAGAAAGAAAGAAAGAAAGAAAGAAAGAAAGAAAGAAAGAAAGAAAGAAAGAAAGAAAGAAAGAAAGAAAGAAAGAAAGAAAGAAAGAAAGAAAGAAAGAAAGAAAGAAAGAAAGAAAGAAAGAAAGAAAGAAAGAAAGAAAGAAAGAAAGAAAGAAAGAAAGAAAGAAAGAAAGAAAGAAAGAAAGAAAGAAAGAAAGAAAGAAAGAAAGAGAAAGAAAGAAAGAAAGAGAAAGAAAGAAATTTGTTAACAATATTCAAGAACTTTTACAAATTTTATAAAAAAAAATTGAATTAACTATTATAACCTTTTTTCAGAAAATGGTTCAACAAATTTTTATTTAAAAAACCAACCTAATAATTCCCCCTACCCTCAACAAAATCCTCTGGCTTATTGAGTTAACTGTTCTAAAAAATATCGGCTTAACAACGCTACTTAAAGACATTGACGTGTGGCTAAGGAAAATGTGGGAGACGGGAAATCTGCCAAGTGACACCTTTAAAAATCTTTATGTATCAATTTTAAGCAAGTCAGAATAAGGTTATTCATCATAAAAAAAACAAATTTTAAATTAATAATTAAAAGAATCAATAAATTTATCTATAATTAAATATTTTGGGATAAAAACTTAACAGTAAAATATAGTGAGAGGGTGCGTGGGGCTTTTTCCGATGGGTATTTTCTTTCCCAGGGGGTTTTTTCCCGGGTCTCTTCTTCCTATTACCAAAATATATATGTATCCAGGATAAATGGCGCTATAAAACTTTCTGCCCAATAAGCTATTCCCATATATTGTCAAAAAAATATATCTATATATGAACAATAGTGCCTTGTGCATGACTAATTCAATAATTTAATGCACAATTGCATAATAAGAGTAACATAGTTAGGTGACAAAAATAAAATGATATATAACATGTAGAGCTTTTAATATATGCGTAAGGAATATTTTATTTTAACATTATATAACCTATTTATAATAATATAATAATGATTGATTACATAGTATATATATAATTATTCTTGTTGGACCGATAATTTCCATTCCCAAAACGTAATAGTGTGATTTATTATATCTTTCGACAATTTTAAATTTAAATATTCTTTTTATTTTCTTCCTTTTATTTCTTATCTATTTTTTTTATTTCTTATCTTCTTTAAATATTATATTTTTTTTATTTCTTCTTTTTATTTCTTATCTTCTTTAAATATTATATTTTTTTATTTCCTTTCTTTCTTTCTTTCTTTCTTTCTTTCTTATCTTCTTTAAATATTCTATTTTTTATTTCTTCCTTTCTTTCTTACCCTCAAGAAAATTATTCTTTTTTTTTCTCTCTCTCCATTAGTCGAAAGAATCTAATATCTTTATATGTAACTGTAATTTAAAATTTTTTAAGGTCTCGATTATAGCCTAGAAAAATAAAAACAATTAAATATTCGAAATTTACAAATTTTCTTATTTTTTTTTAAACCAATCGCTATCTCTTCCCTTGGACATATATTGTCGCGCGAAACTTTAAAAAAATTTTTTAAAAAAATATAGGCGGCATAATAAGAGCGCCTTACATTAGAACCCAAAGAATTTTATTTTTTTTAAAAAACAAAATAATATACAAAAATTATCATGTTTTTTTGGGGGTAACTTGTAGTCCCACCTCCGTTATTTATAGAATGATTTTTTAAAGAATTATTTGTGGTATCATTTCATATATTAGGAAATTCAAAAATTCAAATTTAATAAATTTATACATATCGAAGAATTTATCATTCATTTTATTGCTCACATTTTCCAATTTCTCTTTTAAAACAATGGTTTATACAAGATTGTTTTTTAAAATAACGGAAATTTTAAATATTGAGAAGTCGGGCCATAAAATGATCAAAATTAAAAATTTGGGGACCTGTTCAATAATAAATACGGGTCTTGACTTAGGAATCTTTATTTTTACAAGAAATTCCCCTCGGTGCTAGACCCTGTAGCTTATCAGTTGCCTCTGCAGGTATCTATATAGTATAGTAAAAATCTTTGGCCCCTCTCTCCCCCCCTCTCCCAATGCAAAAGAAAAATTAGGTTTGGTACTAAATCTTTCCCCATAATTTGAAGCCTCTTGAAGTGTTTATATCTGTAAATTCTAAATTTGGCTCCCCCCTCTCACCCCCCTTTATCGCGAAGAGGTCTGTTACGCCTTTCTCTATATACCATAGCACCCTTAACTGACCTATTCTTTTAAGTCCAGCTGAATCCAAGAAATTGGTTTTAAATCTATTTCCTATCTTGATCCAAACTTCCATTTTTTTTTTCAGAAAAGAGATATATAATTTTTTCTTAATGAAGGCGAGAAAAGGTTATAAGTGCTGGAGGAAAATAAAAAAAAAATAGGTTTGTCTTCTATTTTTCTTCGAATAATAATATATGACAACAACTATATTATATATAACTATTTAACTAGACAACTTCCCAAATTTAATTAGAATTCTATGACAACCATTTTTACTTTTTAGCCCTGATTCATATCTACCTGTACCCTCTTCCATCTTAACCATAATACCTAACTTTCTAATTTAGAATGTACTTCAAAACAACGATTTTTATATTATATATAAGGGGTAATTTACTTTTTTTATATATTAAAGCACATAAAAAGTAATAACGTTCCATGCACACTTTAACAATAGAAGGGCATAATGGAAAGGAAGATGCTATGGGGAAAAGTAACGTGGCTGCCGGTTCAGGAATTAATCAGTGGGTGGGCCGGATAGTGATATAGACAAATTAACACGTAAGTCTGAAAGGAGGGATTCATATACCGATCAGATGATTACCCTCATTTTTTTTTCTTGAATGTAAAAGTATTTAGGAGAGCAAAATAATTTTTATTTTGCTGAAGTCAGAGAGAAGGTAGAGAATATCTGTTCCGAATTAAATTCTAGCGAAAACACGGAGACATTTCTAACAGGGTTCAAATTCTACACATTTCCTGGCGCTGGGTCGCCTCTCAAGATTTTTGCTTTATAAATTTTGCTATTTGATATCGTATCATATTTTCTATAATTTAAATCATATATCGATCCATGTTTCAACCCAACAATTTTTTCTTTTTGTATAGTAAGTTAAATAAATTATCTATGTTAACATTTTTAATTTATTTTCGTTAGATGATAACTCAATTTAAATATGGGGGGAGGAAAAAAAAAATTATTATAGAAAAATAAAGAATTTAATTATTTATTATATTGTTTCTTATGATTGCATTTTTAAGTAAATACCATATTATAAAAAAATATAAAAATCGAAATAATCATTATAAAAATAAAACCAGTTTCATCGTTAGAACTTTCATTATAATCAGGCATACTAAAAGATCTTCAAATGTTAATATGGCAATCAGCGAATTTACTAAAAACTCTTCTTCTGTCTTCACCTTATCCCCAATTAGATCTGCATATCATTTAAAATTAAATATAATTATAAATCATAAGAAAATATAGAAACTCTTTATAAATATATTTACCAAATAATCATAGAACGATCATTATTATCATGTATGCCAATGCCTTTAGTGGTAATATGGTGATGAGCGAACTTATTATTAACAGATGGTCACTTTTTTTCGTGATTAAAACTGTGTTCCTCCCGACTTCATCCATCCCCATTTGATCTTGTAATCATTTTATAATATAAAAAAATAGAAGAAAATAAATATACTTTTATAAAGTATATAAAATAAGGATTTAGAAAAATGTTTGTTTTTTAAATATCGTTTCTAATATAAAAAAAAAATTTCACGGCCGATGATAAAATAAGCTATATAAAATTTATCCTATTTCCCGCTCTCCGCTGATCAGTGTTTTTTTAAACGTATTAAAGAGCGGAAAACGTTAAAACTCGGAAAATATTGCAAATTTTTTTTAGATTTCAGGGAACCACGAGCATGTCCTAAATTATATTTACTTCAAAAAAAAAATCTTCACCTGTTCGATCCCTTAAAACGGGCTATTTAAATACGTCACTACAGAGTAACCAATCAAAAAAGGATTTTAAAACTATCATGAACCAATGACATATAAGAAGACCTAGACTGACGATGCATTCATAATAACGCATTTGAAAGCCTCGTTGAATGCAAATCAGCTGGACTTGCCATTTTGGTAACCCATATAGCAATTATTCTCATGTTAAAAAATTACTATTAGATATGATAACTTGCTTCCTTATTATCTCGATGATCAGGCAACTCTTCTCTCTCTTCTCTTCTTCTTCTTCTTCTTCTTCTCTTCTCTTCTCTTCTTCTTCTCTTCTTCTCTTCTTCTTCTTCTTCTTCTTCTCTTCTTCTTCTTCTTCTTCTTCTTCTTCTCTTCTCTTCTCTTCTTCTCTTCTTCTTCTTCTTCTCTTCTCTTCTCTTCTTTCCGTCAGACTTAGAAATAAATTGGCCTCTCGTTAAAAATTTTCAATAATGATACGGGTAACCAAAATGGCGTCCCCAGCTGTTTTTCATTTGATGTACATTTTTTAATGTATGCATCGTCAGTCTAGGCATCATCATATGTCATTGAATAAAACTAGTGAAGCAAATAGTTTTCATAAAAGAAAACATTTACAATGCCATCATCTATTATCTTTCAAAGTGTTTCAACTCCATCATGTTTACTATGATTAATTATTAGAATTTTATCTTGCCATTAAACTTTGTGAAGTATCATTTTCAAAAGTAAGTTAAACGTATATGTATTATCATTTTAAATTTTAAGTGTATTATACATTTACAGAAGCTACTAGGTTAAAATGCTATATTATAAAATAAAATATATATATATTTTTTTTAAATTTTTAATTTTGTAAAAATTAATTTAATATTCATACTTTTAGGATAGGAAACTCGTTTGAATTTTATTTGAGGTGCAACGTATAATTTTGTGAAGGAATCATTGGCTGGTTTTAAGGATCTGTAATCTTTAATAAAGAAGGAATAGAAAAAAAAGATTGAAGTTATTACTAATAACTTAACATTTCTCTAAAAAAAATTTATTCATTTATTCTTTATTCTATTTAACTGTATTCTAACAGGCGAATCGCGGATAACTTACAAAAGGTTTTTTTGCCTTAATGACATGTCGAATATTATGTTGTCAAATAAACCAATCCGACCCTTATCGACTTATGAAAAAAATATAATATCTTATTTCGAAACTTCGTTTAATCGAAATCGCGAAAATTCGAAAATACAAACTCCATCTAATTCTAAATATCTCAAAAAATTAATTTTTTTGAGCTAAAACCATAATTTAAACTTTATTATATATAGCTTTATTATAGCACTTTAAAATATGATATAAAATATAATGGCTTATTACCAAAAAAATAAATAAATGGAAAACCGGAAATGGCCATTAAAAGAAAAATGTCATTCCTTTTCATGAATGGCTCAATTTATTTTTTTTTGGAGATATTTTAGCATTTTTTTGTAAAGGAAGCCATATCTCGGGAAGTATATAAGTTAGAAATTTAATTTCAACTTTAAATCATTTTTTGAGCGCGTTTTTAATAAAGATCTGAGTTTACAGAATATTCCAGAATGCTAAGAATACCTATCTTATGAATTGTAGATATATATAATTCGTACGATACATCTACGCAATAAACTAATATAAAAACTATTAAGTTAATGGCAAAAATTATCTGAAATTGATGGAATAACATTTCCGATAAAATGAGATTTTTAAAATTTGAAGGATTTAAGAGTGAAAAAAAATAACATATTAACCGGAAAAAAAAAACATAAATTTTTAAAAAATAATAGAAGAGGGTCGTCGGGTGGAAAATCGAGTTTTATGGTTGATATAATACGGAACGCTACATATTTTAATCGCAAATAAATTCTATGCTTCATCTTCCAAATCAATAATTTCCTGTAATTTTTTTAAAAAACAATCTGTTATATTTTTTTGTTCTTGCAGCCAACTCGAGTAGTGGTGTGATGAGAAGAAAAAAAAGTAATTTAGAATGACTATCCCCAAATATTTTAGCCAAAAGATATTGCGCGAACCCTCTGGATTTCGTTGATAGATGCCCAGAGCAAGATCTCCAGGCTTGAAGTAATAACTTATTTGGCTAAAATATTGAAGTAGTCGTTATTGGGAAAATCAAGGCGTTTAACATACACTACCTGTAATAAATAATACGACCATCATAATTAGTGTAAAAGGTGATTTGAGCCGATTTTTAAGAACGTCTAACTCAATATTTTAGCCCAAAATAACGTAAAACTGAAGATCTCATAGGTGGCACAAAGGTTTGGATTTTAGCGAAATCTCAAGGCTTTTTAGCAGTATTTTTCTGACTAAAATCTTGAGTTAGCCGTTTTTTAAGAATAGGCTCAAATCCAGCCATTTATCAACACTAACCATAATGTCAAAGTAAAATAATGCTAAGAAATGTCAAGCTAATTTTAAAAATTGCAGGGTTCGGGGTTAAATAAATTTAAAAAAAAAAAAACCATTTTTGATCGTTAGATTAAATAAGCGCCTTTGCTTCGAGTATGATTGGATGGAACTCGTGGGGACGTCATCGTTATTAATTTGACACTCGTACAGTCCTACATCGACGGATTGCGTGTACCGAATTTGCAGGGTCCACAATTGCCCAGTGTCGGATAGAATATTTATTCTCGGATCTTTGACGAATTTGAATTTGCCTATCGTCAATATCTGATTATCTCTCAAACGTATCCAAGAAACCTTTATTTATTTTATTAAATTTATAAAGATTTTCAAAAATAAATAAATAAAATTATTAACGCACTAAAAAAAAAATATAAGAATAATGGGATATTACTTGAGAAATTTTTTTTAATTTTTAAGGAAATATTATCAACCCTGAGAAAAAAAACGAATTTTCTGTATAATATTGATAGTATAAATTTTATGCATATTTTATATATAGAAAAATAAAATATAATTAACTATTACTGTTTTGTCATAAAGTAAATATAAAGATCATCATTTATTTTGTAGGTATATTATACAAAAATATAAACACACTGATTTATTCTTTATAATCGTTTGTGTTAGATAGAATCATATCTTACCCTGTATATATATGCTTCCAATCAGGGATGTGAATCTGAAGCCGGGTTCGAGAATTATCAACTCCATTTAGCGGAAATTTCGATAACAGGAACTTAATCGAAACCGATTTTCTAAGAGAGGTCCGATACCCGAGTCCATTTTACCCCGGTTATGATGAGTTATCCATAAATTAATCTCTGTTTGGTCTGTGGTCTCAAAATGCCAAACCAAACAAGTTTACATTTCTGAACCCGGATTGGTGTTCGGGTTCACATCCCTACTTCCAATTAAATCTATTTTATTCTAAATATATGCTAAATTTAATAACACTTATGTTTAATTTTTCAACTTTTAATTTCCAATTTCCTGACATTCTTGTTCTAAATAATGTCTAATAAATGCATTCCTTTAACAACAAACTCAGGGTTTTTGAGTCTGTTTATGCAGCTTTTACAGCATCTTTAGGTCTATTTTTTGTTTATCTAATTCTTTATGATGATTCGTGCAATTATGTTTTTAGAAAAACTAAATTACATTAGTTTAGATATAATATAATTTACTATTATTCTTTTTTTTAAAAAAAATATTTTTTTCAATTTCTAGATTATCTTTTCTTTTATATATCATTTTTCATTTTCATTAACAATCAGAAAAAACTTCTAAATTTAAGTAAATCAATGATATTAATATTGAATATGAAAATTAAATATCATTATAAATGTGATTTTTGAATAAAATCAATATAACCGAAATTAGATGTCGAATCTCTAGAACCAATTATCAGTTTGTGGCATTCTTGACACCCTGCAGTGTAATTTTATTATTGGTATTGGTATGTTCATTTAAGTGCTGTTAAAAAACCCGATTTGAGCATATTTTTATAAAAATGTCCCTAAGATATTTTCCAAAAATAGTAATATGTATAAGAGCCTCGAGATTCGCCATATAAATTTTGCAAACCTTTCTGCCATATATTAACAAAATATCCATTTGATAATGCTATGTTGGCTAAAATCTAATTGGGCTTTTCAACAACACTAATGTTCATGCTGGGTGGCTTCAAAAAATCTTCCATTTACATGCTTGATTAATATTTGAAACTTTATTCTCCTTTGTGTAGCATCATTTATTTTCACATTCCGATTGTATAATTATAGCTTCGATTAACTTGGGTTCATAATCTTTGGGGTAATGATGAATGTATGGCCATTTCGATAAAACGTGGTAGTTTTTAGCGATGAGCCATATGACAACCAACGTCATATTATTTTATTATTAAAAAAAACCTATCTTAAAATATCTAAACTCGTTATTAAATTTTTCATTTCATTTAAAAACAATTTTTTTTAAAATTATCCGTATCTTTTTGAGTGCAAAGTTGATTAAGATACAGATATTTTATAATAATTTGTGTTAGATAAAAAATACAAGATCCTTTCTAAAAGTTTAAAACAGATACAAATATCCGCGATATTGCCCGACCATGTAGATCCAAACTCTAACGGATATTCGCTCAGCTTTAGGTTCAGATAAAAATAACTGTTCAGGTTCGGTTAGTAAAAAAATAATAATGTCGATTCGGCTTTTACCGTTAAAAACCGGTTTACGCTTTTCGCATACAAGCTCATCGGAATTATGTAAAAACTAATATTGAGCCGTAATATACAATTTAAATATTTTCAAGATTCTCTTCTGTCAAATTGTATTTATAAAGAGGAGGAAGAATAAATTTTACGGCTGAGAACACAGCTGAATTTGGGTAGCGGCGCCGTCAAATAACAATATTGAAATATAATCTAAAATTAATTGACCGATACTTATTATCGGTCATAACTGATTATTATTAACCATCTTTAAAAGAGTCACAATACATCAAAAGATTCCAATCCCTGTTCACTTGAATTTTATTTAGTCGAATGACAAATTTTTAACGATTTTTTCGGTCGATATAACGGTTAATACTAAGGATTCGGTTAAGGCTTGAATCCTTGGTATAACTACTCCTTAAAAATGTGCTCTTTGCCCTTCGTCCATCTTGATATCATCTACTATTTCCGGGTATTCCCTTTTTGTAATTCTATCTTAATCTTCTACGACCGGCATTGATCTGAGTTCGTATCTATGTTAGCGCGCAGAAATAGGTATTCTTTTCCTTCAGTTCTTGGCCCTTTCTCCTTAGTTTATCTCGCGACACTATTTGGAATCATATCCTGATATAGGTACGCAATAAGCGCATCACGTAAATCCTCCGGAAATTGATAGTGTATTTGCAAAATATGATTATTGTTTTTTTTTAAAATATATAATTATTGCTATTTTTCCATCGCGAGGCTTAGAAATATCTTACATGCTTCTTTATTTCTTTCTTTGCTCGCTCTTTCTCCTCCACTCCTAGCACATGGAGAGGTCTAGAGTATCGACATTATCATTTGTCCCATCTTTTCCCTCCTCAGCTAATATAGCGGGGAATATGATTTCTAGCTCGTTTTCTTCCCCTTTTCAATTTTTCCTCAAATAAATTTAAAACATAAAAAGTTCTTATTTTTTCTTGATTTCACATAAAATGCATTATAAAAGCTAAAATAAAAATCAATATTATTGTAAGTTAATTATGTAAATATATTAAACTACCATGTATACATGACACATTGTGTCATTTTAATAATATTATTCAAAATTATACATTTTTTTAAAATATCTTATTTCCCCCCTTTAAGCGGTCTTCATGGCATCGAATACTAAATTAAGTATATATAATTATTATGGGGTGTATTTAGGAAATATTATTGACGTTTAAAACGTTTGATTTATTAATATACAAAACGTTACTAATATTTTATGAGTTACTAAATGTAAATTATATATAATTATAATTACAACAATTATATTAGATTCATTATGATTATATTATATAATTTTATATCCCTTCTGAATTGGTGATTGGCTCAAACCTACAAATATATTTTTATAAATTATAAGCAAATAAATAGATGATGATAGTAAATGTACTTAAATTTTCTTACCACAATACCAACAATTTTTTTTAAAAAAAAATCAAATTTATACTTTCAGTCCCGTATACAAAAATTAGAAAAAAAATTAGAAAAATTTTAAAATTTTAAATGAAATCGTATTTTAAAATTTTTGAAATTTATAAAATTTCCTAGAATTACATTCTGGACATGTTTTTTATTTTTATATCTAAAATAGCTTATTTATTTAATTTCATTAAAGTTTTGAAAAGTTTGAAAATTAAAATTTTTAATATTTTGGACACAGCCTAAACCAAATTTATGCATAAAATTAATAAAACGCTACAGTTTTTTTAAGAAAAGAAAAGTTGTCATGAAATTTTAATGTAAATTGTTTATATGGGAAACCAAAATGGCGTGCCACCCAGCTGATCCATATTTATCGCACATTTAAATAAATGAATCATCGGTCCAGATGTTTTTATATGTCATTGAGAAGTCTTTCTTTCTCTCTTTCTTTCTTTCTTTCTTTCTTTCTTTCTTTCTTTCTTTCTTTCTTTCTTTCTTTCTTTCTTTCTTTCTTTCTTTCTTTCTTTCTTTCTTTCTTTCTTTCTTTCTTTCTTTCTTAGGTTTCAAGTAATCTGTTATGGTCAATTATTAAATCTCGTAGTGCTGACGATGTACCCATTTTGTACATCATATTAAAATGAAAATTCTTTAAAAAAATGAATTACTCAATGATTCATAAATTATTTTCAAGTCTCCCTAGTGGTATAATGGGTAAGACCTCGATTTACCCAATTACCTGAAAAAAATGGTGGAAACCGAGGGTTTTTAACAAACCCACTCGCAACACGCCACCGCGAGATATCAAAGTTCGGAACTATATAAATGGCAACCCAACGCAGTAAATTGCCTATTCCTAAATTTTGATCCTTAAAGCTGGTTGGTATAATTTCTTAACATTTAAAAAAAAAACCAGACTAAATGCCGCCTATCAGCCCTTTAAAATGATGCTTCCTTATAACTAACCTCTTTTAAATTCTGCATAAAATGGATAAATTTGGCATGGACCCGTTACCCCCATCTCCAGCATATAACCTGTTTTGTTTATATTTATTATACATGGTATTTTCTCAATTTTCAATCCACTCCCTTCCTAAGTCAAGTCCTTGAAGAAACACAATTAATAGGTAGAGGTGAGAAAAAAGAAGATCTCTGGCCAATGACATAACTACGATCGGTGACATATGTCGATATATGCCAAAAAAAAATTCTTAATTTGGTTTAAAATAAAGGTGTTGATATATGGTAACCTCTAAAATAATAAATCCGTTCCAAATCTATATCCGTGTTTCTAAAATCAGCTTATTGATATGATGCGATTTCAAAGCAGACGCAGTGATTACCGAGGAAAAATGGGATTTTAAATTGATTATATACATATTCAAGAATATATTTACTGCCCCTTCATTCATTAGAATCAATTTTGAAGCCACGAGGAATACAAAATCTGGTTACTTGATATTTTTCTCCGCTGGGGAAAAAAAGTGTTTTATGTTCAATCTTCAAGTTAAAAGAGGTCATTACATTTAAGAATCTAACCCTTTTCGAATAAGCGGTTTGGAAAAGATATGAGAGTTACTCCAGATTTGGGGTTCGGTTCGAGAAACTCAGTAATAATAATATATGGAATAATATTTATTCGTTTTTTTTTACTATAGGTCGATATTCACTGTCCTGGGCAAGGCAAGGAAGATACGAAGTGGACATCTTGGGAGTGCTTAAGTAGGTAATATCTTGCGAAGTTGATTCATTCAAACCTTGAATTTATATAAATATTAAAAAAGGTATTTTTGTTAATAAATTTTTGTTATTATGAAGAAGAAAAAACCCAAAATATATATATACAACATAATAGTCAGAGCTGTCAGAAAGTATCTAGATACAAAAATGTCGTATCTGTATATGGATATACCTTTATAAAAAGTATCGGTAACTAAATATTACTTTAGAGATATCTGTATGTTTTTAGATACTTTTTAGATACTTTTTATGATACATTTTGATATCCTTTTATTAAATAAACACTTCTTTTTTTTTTATCTTATAAAAAATAAAAATATTTGAATGCGAAATTCATTTCATCTCATATGACCATATAATTTAATCAAATATATATTAAATTAAAAAATATTTAAACCAATATAAATTTATTATATTTTAGCTTATATATATATATATAAATATATAAATATTAATTAAATATTATTTTTATCTATTTAAATAGTTCAAGATTGTAAATAGAGGAATATATAAATCCTTGCTCAGCCATGGACTTCCATTAATTATTAAAAACAATAACCATTATGTTACAAGATTATTTTAAGCAAATAAATTTATTTAGAATTTTTTAAAAATAATTTTAATAGATATTTCACCCAAATCTCAATGAATAAATTATAATTTCAAATGTAAAAACTTTTTTTAAAAATTAAATTCTCTGGTGTTCGAGTTGAATGAGAACAAAATATAAAAATGTAGTTAAAACATATCTTGCTCTCATGATAAGAGTTTCTTTTCGGAAACAACGGCGAACCCTGTATATAAGTATGATAAAAATTGTATATGTATATAGATACTTATTTAGACGATGTATCTGTATATAGATTTATTTAAAAAATATCTTTTAACAACTCGACCAATCTTTTTCCTTATCCCCCCGATACATTATTTAAAAATAATTGACATGATCGATATCAAAAATAAATTATGTCAAACGAAATATTAGCGAAAGTTCCTAAAAAAAATATTTATATAATAAAAATAAAGTGCCAGGCTGAAGTTATACTTTCTCTAGAATATCTTATCATATATAATATTCAAATTGAAGCCTTTTCTGGGCATCAATTTGGAAATCTCCGAATTTCGGTATTCCGTTTTCAACCAATCCTACGCCATTAACTTATAAATTTTTTAAAAAAAAATCTAAGCACCAAAAGCCAGCATTTTGCTATCAGTTTAAACATGAATATTCTTTAAATTTACGTGACTGAGGATGACTTTCCTTGCCTAACAATTTTATATAGTAGAAATTAAGGTAGTAAAATTGGCTAATTATTCCCAGTTTTGATTATCGAGCCAAGGAAAGTAAGTTAGCCCCTTCAAGCCTGTGTTTAGCTTAATAGGGTTGAGTTTACATTTAGGCTTAAATAGAAATTGTACAGATATTTTTGACTCTAACCCAGGTGTTTACTGGCTTGAAATATCATATTGATTATAATGAGTATAGAAAAAAAAAATTAGATACAGTCTAGTAAAAAAAAATTGTTAAAAACATTTTTTATTTAGGGGACAAGGGCGCGAGCAAGTTAATGCCATGCTTTTGACCACACACGTGTCTCAGTGTATAGTCTATTTGGACTGATTGCTTCTCTTGAATGCTATATCATGGACTAGAATACGGAGGAAGCTTACATCAGTCAGAACCGTACATTCAGGCTTTTCTAACTTAGAAACATTCGCTAAAACGGCAACTGAAAGTAGATGTCAAAAATTGGTTAATTAGTAGTTATTGTTGGAACTATAAAAATAAAAGATTCCATTTGAGAAAAAAAAAATAACAATTTTCAATACAGTAAAGTTAATCAAATTTTACCAACGAAATAAATATTTAACAATAATTTATTCCGAAAATGTCATATAATAGAGAAGAATATATTTTTTTTAACATCCTTTGATGAGAAAAAATAGACCAATTTCGTTAAATATTCTTTTTTTTATTGGATCATATTTTAAATATTTCAAAAATAAAAATAAAAAAAAAACTATGGGGTTGAATATGGTTAGGTGATAGTTTGATCTTTAAATCTTTAATTGTGTTTTTCCAGGCATGCGCAGTAACTCCCCTAATATTATTGGTTAATTTATTCACGTACACTTCTTTTAATTAAAAGTTGTCCCTTTTCTTAGGGGAAAAAGCTCACTCAACTACTATCACGAATTTATAAGGGCAAGAAAACCAAAAAACTCAATTTTAAAATAATTGAATAAATACAGATGGTTTTTAAATAATAAAAGCTCTCGCAAAGATCTTCAATGGGAGCTATAAGCGTGCTTCAGTATTAAAATGTTCTATCTGCATAAATGGAAGCCCACTTAGACTCACTTGGTAGATTGAACTTCATACCCACAAGTTTTTTTTATAACTAACAAGTTATCATTTTATTTTCTAAATAACTAACTAAATATTACGTTATATTCTTCTCGTCCTTAGAATGATTTATTGGTATGAAAAATCAATTTATCAATAACAAGTCACATCACAACTAATAGAGCAATAATTATTTTGCCTTGGTCATATATATATATATATATATATATATAAATTACTTTATAAAAAAAACGAAAGAAAGAAGATAGATAGATAGTAAATTATGATGAATTTATGCAATACATCTAATTCACAAAAAAAAATTGAAAAAGTTATTGATAAATATGCCTATTTTATGGTGGAAAGATATATATATCTTAATTTATGAGAATAACTGTATAATAATATATATTTGTATTTATATTTGTAAGTAATAATAGTTTATAGAGTTTATACATATTTTTTTATATATATTATATTACGATGACAAAGGTTATCCAAGGAATGGAAGATAGTAATATTTTATCGGCAAAAAAAAGATTATGTCACTAAAGCTTTACAAAGATAGATGCCAATTGAAACCACCAATGAAATTGTAGCCTGCGGAAACATTTAGTTATTATTTTTTAGATTTCTAATAAAAATTTGGCTTACTAGGTTCTCACCTAAGTTCAGTGGCGCCCTATTTAAGGAGACCCGTTTTTTGTGATGAGACGAGTCCCCCGAAGTATTAAAATGTGCGAATGTTGCGATTTTCAGTTATAATGATTAGCAAAACTGTTTCACATTCATTATAGTTATAAATGTTTAAACAACAATCCTTTAACTCTCTTTTCTGTTACTTTCTCTGGTATAATTCATATCACATTTTGTTCTGAGCCACTCACTCATTTTAAGTAAATCTGCTTAGGATCTTATCGTGATTAAAATTCTTGATTTCTAATCGTGCAATTAGTATTTATTGCTCATTTCTGACATTTATACCGTTTTAGTGACATTCATATTTTTATTTATTTACGATAAATAAAATCAAATCTATTATTTAACTAAATGAATAAGAGCTAAAAATTGCTAGATCCACATACCGAATAATATTAGTCAATGGTGCCAACATGCACTAGGGGACGAGGGTTGGGAGTAAAATTTCTCCTGTCGGGGTTTGGGCAGGTTCTAAAATGAAATCATGGTAACTCTACTTTGCCTATGTGACTCAAGTTCCGAGGAGTTGGTTGGTTCTCCTATTCAAATCGATTCTTAAATATCGCCTCTAAAGTTAAATAAGCTGCATTGCTAGATATTTGGGTAACACGGAGTCATGCAAACCGAATAATATTAACAATATAATGTATACTAATAGTAATAGGTGACAGAACAAAATATCCTTAAATTATATAATTTTATATAAAATCATTCTATTTATATACTATTTAGTAATTAAGTTTTAGAAAAATTGGAATAATAATTTTTTTTACATTTTAAAAAAATGTCACCTTCATACGAAATAATGCCTTGGTCAAGATCAAATATTTGACGGGGATGGAGATGAAGGAGGGAGAGTGGGGGTGGTGCTATTCTGTTATAATTGATATTTCGCATACACTTTCCTTGATAACCAGTTAGATTATCGGTGTTAGCCACAATATCGTATTAGATTTATACGCATTCGATGTAATCCATGTTTTATTTGATTAGCTCACTAATATAAATGCCCGAGCAAATATTTTGTATGCCAATCATAAATAGTTAGAAAATAGAGTCTTGGACTTGGCATAAATTGGGCATCAAGCTCTGGACACAAGTAAATTTTAATTGTCCGCCAAATCTCAGCCCCCTAGTCAAAAATACACATATATCGACAGCTCTTATTAATTTGAAACATTAATATGGGAGATCTAATTAGCGGCAGAAAAGCGGTGTTGGAAAGAATCATAAATCAATAACTAATTTCATCCTACATATCGTTTAACCTCCTGTTTGAGAAATTTCCGCTTCTAAACTGTTCAAAATTTTAAATTTATTTGCGATACACAATTTGAAAGTATATACACAAATATACATTTTCCCTCCCCTTAGAGACAAATATATTTCGGGAATTTAGCTCCCATTTTTTTTTTAAATGGTAAGAATTAATTTTTTTTTTTGTACAAAAGTGAAGAGCTAAGAATTATGGACTTAGATGGTAGAGAAAGGTTTGGATCTCAATTTGTCAAATCTCGAGCCTTACATGATATTATCTTGGCCGAAATCTTAATCTGGTCGGTTTTTAAAAATCTATCCGCGGGCTATTTTTAATAACCTTAGATCAGGCCTAAAAAAAATCGGTTTTAATATATATTTTAAGAATAGTGTCCTCACGAGATAATTTTGTTTGGAAGAAAAACGCTGGATACATTCTCCCACCACAATATTTATGATCTTTAGTCAACCTTGGAACTTAACCCCTACCAACCCCTCTCCTACCACCCCCCCCCTGTCGTGATTGTTTATGCGAACATTGTCGCGGTTCGAAGTCAGGGTAAGATGGTGTTATTTTTTTAGAAATCCAGACTGGGCCTATAAAATATGGAAATAAATTATAAACCCGAGCTGGACCTGAAAATAATAAATTATCTAAGGAAATTCCCCTTTGAAGCGGTTTGCAAAGATATTGACGAGAATTATTGGTAAAACGAAACAAATTTTGCTAAATGTTTAAAATTCTAAAGAGGTGGGTTTGAAAATACGCGAAAAAAAATTTGAATGGGGAACTAATGGGTCGAATATTTGATCCCTGGAGAATTCTGATCAGAATGGATAATTTTAATCATGGAAGCATCATATTTATAATATACATATAATCATATATATATATATTTAATTGGTTAATCCAGTATTTCCTTCTAAAATATTATTTAATCATATCTTGATCAAATAATGAATCATGATACATTTATATCTAAAAAATAGTACTCAAAAAGCATTCTTAAGAGGATTTCGATTGAAATAAGATTTTAGAAAATGAATATATATATATTAATTTTTTTTTTACTAGTTTCATGACATATTGCTGTACGGCTTAACAGCATGATCGCGAAGAATAGTATGACGGTAAAAACGTTATTAAAATTTTGGATCGAAATTATTTTATCTGGGGACAAATTTATTAAAAATGAGAATATTTGGTTAGTTTTCTGGTGGCATTTTAGGAATAATTTCATGGCCCTTCGCTAATTCTTCTTGATTCCGATTCGGCCATCTTTTTTTTTAAATCTTAATTTTTAACAAAATTTAATTTCCCATTTCATTATAAAGTAGAAATAAATTTTAGAAATATCCTTATTTATGAAATATTTATTTTGTTCAAATTTATATAATTTATTTAAAAAAAAAAAAATAAATCCTTATTATTTATATATATATTTTGGTTTATTTTTTTGAAAAATGAAATGAAAATATAATATATATATATATTATATTATAATTAGCATAATACCATGAAAGGCATAACATAATAAGTCATTATAAGTATATTATAAAAATTATTATTAGTTCTTTTCTTGATCGATAAAATAAAAAAATATATAATGATAATAATAACTCGAAAGAAAAAAAAAACCAAAGACATAATAATTTGTATTCCATACATACTAGTATACCTATTGCCTAAAATATTCATATTTCTAGTTTTTATCACAAAATAAAAAAAAACACACACACACATACAATATATTTTGGTTGCCGCTGCGAAGACAAAAGTAAGACATTCTTTTATTGTATTTTTTTTACTTCTAAAATTATCATAATGTTGGATACTCTATAAAAATATATATAAAAAGAACGTTGTCAATCAGCGAGATTTCGGAGGTTAATGACAGTAATCTTCTTCCCATCACAACAAAATATTTGAAACAGATGCATGATGACGGAAGGGATGGTAAGCGATGCTTTGAGGAAAAAAAAGAGACCATAAATGACATATATAAAGTAAGATTGGCATATGCCAGATATGGTAAAAAGTTAAAGGAGGAAAAGACCCGAACTAGAATCAAACGAATAAGATGAAATTTCAACAAACATCTGAAAGCCCCATCCTTATGTTATCTACGAAAAACCAAATCGTTAAAAAAAAAATTGTGTTAAATCTTAAATTATATAATCGTCATGATAATTAATTTTTGTTCCAATCAGAGAGCTTAACACGCCTATCTCCTTAAAATCTGGAGGCCCTAACGTCGGCTCCTTAGTGTCTTTTACTTTGAAAAGGGGGACTAAAATGTTGGAGTATGATACAAAAGAATATAATGGGCAACTCTCTTCTTTCTTTACAAGAAGATAGAGTTTGTGGGATCGCTAAATGCTATTTCCATGCCTATCTGCGCCAAAACTTTCGTGAAACTTTCGGGAAAAAATTAATAAAATAAATAATAAACGAAATTTAAATTTATCTTTTATCACATAATTTAAAAATATAATATATAATATCTCAATAAATATTCGTTTTTCTTAATGTTTTTTTTTCGTTCACTCTTTTGAAGAGCTTTGTTTGAAAGGTGGTTTGTCCGACACTTAATAATACCAATGAACGAAGATATAAATTTTGATTTCTTTTCACTTCTCTTCTCCAGAAAATGTATTAATGGCTCAAAATGTAATAATTCTAATTATTATAATAAATAAGTTTTAAAAAAAAGATTAACGCCTGTCAGGAACTTTCCAGAAGGTCAAAAACTAGAAATGGAATAGTAACTCCAAAGTTTCTTCTTCTTTCCAAGAGCCTATTATTTTCATTTTAGTACCTATAAGAGAGAGATGGAAAGAGGGAAGTGGGGTGGCTAATAAATAATGAAGCAAACGAAAATCAAAATAATATCTTATTAAAAATTAATGAATTTTCAGGCTTTTAAAACGAATTTTTTGATAAGCCTATATAGGAATATAAAGAATAAACTTCTATTAAATACAATATTTTTAGCTAGGATTTTTTTTAAAATATATATATAACAAAAAAGCTTTCTATAAAAAAAATAAAGATATCTATTAAGAATGACCATACACCAAAGAATAAGTATAAAACCACGTATTTTGAAGTGTATATATATAAATATAATATAAAATTTCAAAACCGATAACAAATATAATGATTATTAGGATGATTATTTCCTTAATAAAATATATCAGAATATAAATTTAATTCAATTAATAAAAAAAAATTTTTGGACGAAAATGAAATATAATATAATTTAATTTTTTTGTTTCTTATATAACAAAAAAAAATCTCAAAAAATATTAGTAAAATATAAGTAAAATACCATAAATATCACATATTATTTTTTTAAAAAAAAATAAATTAAAAAAATTTTGAAAACTCAAAATGATAACCATACCACCACAACATATAACAATAAATTTTTTATTTTATTTTATAATTTAATTAACACTTGAATAAAAAAAAAGAAGTGATATTATAATGCATTTTAAAGGTATAAAATTTAATGTATCTTAAAGAAGGAAATAAAACATTACTATAGGATTTAAATTAGAGACCGGCTCCCGAAATTTTTTTCAACTGTTTTTTTTAAAATATAATTATAAAATAAATATATTTTAATTTACATAAAAATCTTTTCAAAAATGAAAAATATCAAAAAATATTTTGAAAGGAGATTTTTATTCACATTTTGAAGAATTTTTTTTTCTTGTTTTGGATTTTTTTAAAATTTATATGTTTTCGTTTGTAAAAAATTTATTTATAAGTAAAACGTGAGAGATTGACGAGAAATTAGAAAAAAGTGAAGAGTAGATTTGGTTCATTTTATTAACGCTTACATGACCATAAATCAGATTATTTATATGATAATAAAAAAAAATGTTTTTTTGCTTCTTAATTTTTTTAAAAATTAAAAAAATTCTTCTAAAAATAAAAATTATATTTAATTTTAAAATATATTTTAAAAAAAATCAATATTCAATTTCGTATTTAATTTTTAAAAGTGATTTTTAATAAAAAAATAGAATTTTAAGTTAGTTTAAGTCACACTATTTGTAAAGTTATATAATATATTTCTTTTTCATTCTCTTCTTTATTTTCTATTCTATTTTATTCTATTCTATTATTTTTTTTTTCGTTTATTTTGTTATTTATTTAAATTTCATATCTAATATACATACTACGTTTGTGTCAATAACGTAATTTGCATTTTCAAATAATAAATAATTTTTTTTTGAGGATTTATTACATAAATTGAAGAAAAAATCTATTATTGGTATGTCTTTGGAAAGATGATAAAGATTAAATATAATAAATATTTTAGCACTTTATTCGTTATATATTATTTGTAGGAATTTTAAAAGAAGATCAAATATGATATATATAATTTATATTTTTTTTTCTGAAACGTTTTCTCTAGTGGATATTTTAAAAGGAAAAATTATATACATAATTTTCCAAAATAAATTTTTGTATTTTTTTATTTGACAAATTTAATTTTTAAATTCCAGATTTAAATATAAATGAAGGTTTTTTTTAGGACTAAAATCTTAAATATTTGTAGGGATTGAAACCAGAATAGTTTCAAAAATTTGTTTAAGACATTATTTTTATATGTTTTTTTTAAAGTTTGCTTATATTTTTATTAATAATTGTTTTTAAAAAAACATTTGCTTTTTGATAACTACGCATCGTTAAACTCCTAATAATCTATATTTTATTTTATTTTTTTTGGTAATTTTTGAGCATTAATTATTTAAAGTATTATTATTATTATTAATGTGTAATGATGGCTAATAAAAAAAAAATTAAAAGATTCAAAAAAATAGAATTTTTTGGAAGGATTAATGTTATTTTTTTTTTTTAAATTCTTACCTAAAAAATTATTTTTATTTTTTTAAAATCAATAAATTGTTTTAAATTATAAATATATAAATTAAATAATGAGCCCCAGTTAATAGCTTCGTTGAAAGGGGGAAGAGTGGGAACGGGGATCGGGCTAAATGGAATGGGGATTAATATGGTGGGGTAGTAAAATTTGAACGATTTCTTCTGAATTTTAGCAATTAATTATAATAGGAATGGCGTATTTATTAATAAAGAATAAACCTAGCAAGCTCTGTTTTGATTGGAGCAGACAATTGTTCAGGATTATGATTGGTTACGAATAAATGTATGATTATTGTACAAGAGTAGAGAACGGGTTAAAAAAATTAAACATTAGGGGGGGGGGGGTGAATAGGGGAGGGAGAAAAATATATTTTTAAACAAAGGGGGAGGAAGCGGGTAGATTTAAAATATTTCGGGCAAAATGAGGGAGAAGGAGCTCAGATTTATATTTAGAAACGCGTATTTTATCAGTTTAAGCAAATTTATTTAAAATAAAATAAAGAGCCAAATCCAGCCCCCTTTATTTTGCTCAGGTTGCACCAAATTAATAGCAAGGGAATATATATAATTCTCAATGCCGTTCCTGTAGTTATAGAATAATCAATAAATATAAGTCTGAAAGACGCGATAGCCGCTTTCGCCTTTTAAGTTATGGAAAACGTCCCGAAAAAAAAAATTTTTTATTTGGAGAAGGAGCGAATATATTATTTTTTGGGGGGGAATATTATTGGTTCTATTTTGGATAAATACTCATATTTATTTGGCCAAAAAGACGAAATTCGCTAAACATTTTAAAATTTCTGAAATACCTACATCCCTATCACTTTACAGCATTATAATTTGTAGGAATATTTCTCTATTGTTCTTTAATGGGTGCAGGGGAAGGGGGTTAGGAGCACAGTTGGATTTAAATAATAGGAATTGGGGTTGGGGGTTTCAACTAAGTTTTGAGGTGAAATACAGTAAACTATATACTTTTTTCATAGACATACCTCAACCAAATTTATATATTGCATATAATACAATCATAGTCATTGAAGTATTCTACAAAAAAAAAACTTAATTCTGTATAATTTTCTCTACCACATTTTTAAATAGCGAAATCTTGAAACTTAGGCAATATTTTAGTGGCTAAAATATTGAGTTAGCCGCTTAACATTACCTAATGGCATTATTTTTTTTATTATAATGATTGATATGAATAGAATATGTATAATTTTCATATAATTGATTTATGTATATTATATAGTTTATTTAATTAAGTTTGGATTAAAATAAACAAAATTTATATATATATTTTTTTTAAAAAAATTAAATTATTTTGAATTTTATTTTGAATTTAATTTTAATTACATTCTAAATAAATTTATTACATAATATTTTATTAGAATTAATTCTTATTTCTAAAAAAATCTACTCTTTCTATATAATATATAACAGT